GGTTCGGGCGCAGCGGTCCTGTCTTGAGGACCACCGTCGACGTCCTTCCAGTCGATGTCAGGGTTCCCAGTCTGCAGCCAGGGCATGCCGAGAAAGGCGTCGAAGCTGCCCAGCTGACACAGGGTGAACACCAGTCGCTCCTGGTGAGTCCCAATGCGCAAGGTCACTTCCTGCGTGTCGTCCTTGCTGACATGCCTGGTTCCATTGGCGAAGACAAACTCCACTGGGTACTGGCGTGGTTGGACGGCGATTCCATGGCGAAGGGCGTAGTCTCGGGACAGGACGTTCATTCTGCTTCCGGGGTCGATGAGGGTCCTAGCCGGCCGGCCGTCGATGGTTCCACGGAAGGTAAGGAGGCGTGCCTGTGATGTCACTGCATCCGTGGCTTGCAGCAACACCGCCTCCGTCTCGCCAGTAGGGCTGGCGGGCCCTACTGGCGCGTGCCGTTTCCCGACCGACGGTCGCTGGCGTTCAGCGGACAGTCGGCGGCGAGGTGGCCTTCGCGTCGGCAACGGAAGCAGGCGCCACGGCGCCGAAGCTCGTCGCGCTCTTGGTCAGTCAGTCGGCGGAGGGGGCGCTGGGCACGGATGGCGTCGATGTCCATGGCGCGGTCGTCGAACTTAGGTGGCTGCGTCGGGGGCGCTCCACGGCGGTAGGACGAGTTGGCCGTGGTGTAGTTGCGATCGTAGCGTGAGGCCAGTTGGTAGGCCTGCTCCAGAGTGTCGGGTCCGTGGAAGGAGACTTCCTGGCGGGTGCGCGGCCGCAGTCCGTGGATGAAAGCTTCAATGCGGTCCAGGCGTGACATGTCGTCGATCTGCACCATCAGCTGTCGGAACTTGAAGACGTAGTCCTGCACGTTGCCGTCTTGGCGCAGTCGACGAAGTTGGTCCCGCAGTTGGCGTTGCTCATCGATGGTCTTGAAACTCGCGCGGAGTTGCTCCTGAAGCTCATGCATGTTCGTCGGAGCTGGATCGAGGCTGCGGTACCAGGTGAGGGCGTGCCCTTGCAGGCAGGAGATGGCAAGTAGCAGGCGCTGGTCGTCGTCGTCGATGCGATGGTACCTGACGAAGGTTTCCAAGCAGAACAGGAAGTCGTCAGCTCGTTCGCCCGTTGCACCCGAGAAGGTCGGTGGTGGTGGCCCGCGTGGTCGACCGGTAGATCGCGTTGGTCCTTGTGGTCCCTGCTGAGACTCATGCACAGCGTGGTTAAGTTGTGGCGCTTGCGCCATGGTCTGTGTAAGCACGCGCATGTGCTCAATCATCTCGTGCCACTGTTCCTCCATGTTGCTGCTTGTCCGTGGTACGTGTGTGTGTGTGTGTCAATCGCTACCAAGTGTGACGGGACTGTGGTCGAGGTGTGTCGGTGGCTTGTTCTGTGTACTGATGTGAAGGTAGACCAGGGAACAAAAGAACTGAACAAGGCACAGACGATCACGTGAGATAAGCGACAACAGGGTGCAGGGCAACACACACGTGCTAGCAGGCAACAAGGAGGGGTGCTTGTGGTTAAGCAAGGGGGAAAACAAGAGACAAGGGCAACAGACGTAACACAGCATGCAGGCATGTGTCGTGCCGTCATCTTAGTTGATGACGGTACCGTGCCAAGGGCTCGGGATCGCCGCCGAGAGGCAAGCAGTTCCGAGGCACTGGGCACGGCGTGACACGACACAGGCAAACGCTACTATACGACACTCACGAGTTAAACATGACGTCAATCAGGCTAAACATGACATCAAACATTAGGAGAACAAAGAACATGCAAGGCAGTACGGTGCCGCGAAGGGCAAGGAAGGGAAAACAATGGGACACAGCGGGGCAAGGTGCAGGGAACGGGGAGACCGAGAGAGAGAGAGAGAGAGAGAGAGAGAGAGAGAGAGAGAGAGAGAGAGAGCGGCAGGGGGAGGCAGGCGAGCGACGTTACATGGATGGAGGACACAACAGTGTTTGTGTCTGCAAAGTAGACGAGGTGGCTGTTGCTGCTGCTGTTGTGGCCGACGTAGATGCCTCGACGACCCTTGGGCTGCAGGCGTCCGCGCTGTGTGCTGATGTGGACGACGGCCGCCTGCCCGAAGACGTGCAGCTGCGACACGTGCTTGGGCAGCGAGCCCGTGACAATTTGCAGCGGTGTCTTGCCGTAGAGGGAAGGGCGAGGCATGTTGTTGAGGATGTGCAGGGCGTGGTTGCAGGCGAGGCTCCAGTACGATGCGTCGAGGCCTGCACCCGTGATCATGGCTCGCACCATGTCGGAGAGGGTGCGCACCTGTCGCTTCGACGATGCCGTTCTGCGCCTGGGT